CCCCCCCAAAGCAGACACACCCCTGCCTATGGACGAGGACAGCTCCGACCCCCCTCCCCGGCATGTCCCCGTGAAGAGCGTAGCCCGTCACTCTTCCAAATCCCCCACTAGGCCGCCGTCCAATATAGGACGGCAGCTTAGAAAACACTCTGCCTCCCCGGCAAAGAGGAGTCACAGTGTTTCTTCGAAGCCGGGGCCTTTGTGCTCCAATATTAAAAGAGATAATGGCAAACCTGCAATGGAATGCCGGCGGAATCCGACCGTCCATTGCAGAATTGCAACACCTACAGGCCATACTGTGCCCACTTGTGGCCTGTATACAAGAAACAAAATTAGCCTCGGCTTCAACCATAGACTAAAGAGGATTTACTGCGTATCATCACATTGACGGAGAACCAGATTGCTTCCGGTGGAGCCACCATCTACACCGACTACAACACTCTCCACAGACAAGTACATCTTAGGACGACCCTCCAGGCTATTGCCGTACGGGTCACCCTGCATAGACCAATCACGATCTGCTCAGTGTATATCCCACCTAATTACCCCCTCAAAATAACCCAACTAAATAACTTAAGGCTCAGCTTCCAAAACCCTTTATTTTGCTAGGTGATTTTAATGCCCGCAGCCCCCTTTGGGGAGACAAACCTACAGACCAGAAAGGAAAAATAATAGAAGATTTTTTATTCCAAAATAACATCTGCCTCTTAAATGATAAGTCCCCCACTTACAGAAACAGATCCACTTTATGACACTTCATGCCTTGACCTCACCTTTTGTACCCCTGACCTGGACCCAGATTTTGAGTTGTTCTGTGCTGGATGACCGTACGGATCATTTCCCCATCCTTCTAAAAAAACCCAATAGCCTCCAAAACGATCGATCCCAGTACGCTTCAACTTCAAAAGAGCACACTGGGACGAGTTTGCCTCTGAATGTTCCCAGATTCTGAATCCCACTTTCGACCTCAACTACAAAAAATTCCACGAAAAGCTCCTAGAAATATGCCACAAACACATACCAAAAACAAAAACAAAACCCCGGAAGAACAGGATCTGGTTCTCTGACGACTGTGATGATGCAGTAAAGAAAAAGAAAGCAGCATATCGAAAAGCTGTCGACAACACCACTACAGAAAACAAGATTAATTACCTAAAAGCTCGAGCTGAGGCACGTAGATGCCTCTGGGAGAGCAAAAGACAATCATTCAGAAAATACATCTCCAAAATCAACAGTGAGACACCACTCAATCAAGTTTTCAAAATACAGTGTGGCTTTAAAAAATTGGGTAGACGCACAGACACCATCCGGCTCGTCCAGAGGCCGGATGGAACCACAGCTGAAACATAGGTAGACCTCGCAAACACAATAGCTACTTCTCTCGCCAAAAACTCATCCCAAGCAAACTACAACACCACCTTCTAAAGCATCAAAGCTAAGTGAGAACAACAACACCTAAACTTCCACTCAAACAACACTGAAATCTACAAAGCAGACTTCACATTAGACGAACTAACATCGTGCATCTCGGACCTGGGCAATACAGCCCCATGACCGGATGGCTTCCACAACCAGATCATTAGACACTTACCCACATAAGCACTTGCCTCCTACTAGACATATTCAACGACTTGTGGCGGTCACACTCCTTCTCGCAGTCTTGGCGTCTCGCCACTGTCATTCCAATACCAAAACCAAACAAAGACCACACACACCCATCCAATTACAGACCAATAGCACTAACTAGTCTGTGCAAACTTATAGGGAAAATGATCCACAGGCGACTCATGTGGTTTCTGGAAACGACGGGCTCGCCGAGCGGTCTCCAGTGCGGATTCAGGAAAACTTGATCCACTCTGGATCACCTGGTCCGCCTGGAGACCTTTACACGCGAGACGTTTGCCGAAGGAGGCCACATGATTGCCATCTTTTTCGACCTAGAAAAAAACCTTCGACACAACCTGGAAGTACGGCATTCTCAGAGACCTGCACGCTCTCGGCCTACGCGGTCACTTCCCTGCCTTCTTTGGCAATTCCCTGAGGAACCGTTCCTTCCAGGTTAATGTCGGATCTTCCCTTTCAGACCCCCACGGACAGGAGGAGGGAATATCCCAGGGGAGCTTCATTTCTCCTCTCTTATATTTGAAATCAAAATAGTTTCTATCGTAAAAACCCTCCAGAATAGCATAGACAGCTCGTTATGCGTTGACGACTTCTTGATATGCTGCCGTTCGAAAAACCCTCCTCTAAGATCAGATCTATGGAAAGGCAGCTGGCAGCTGCACAAACTTGAAAAGTGGGCAAAAACAACAACGGTTTCAAGTTTTCCCCATCAAAGACGGTTGCAGTACACTTCTGCCGATCAGGCAGACGCGTACTGCAGCCTGATTTGACACTATACGGGGAAAGAATTCCCGTCCAGGACCAGGCTCGTTTCCTCGGTGTTATATTCGACAAAAAACTCACTTTCATTCCACACATCAAAGACCTTCGTGTGAGGTGCCAGAAAGCGTTAAACGCTTTGAAAATTCGATCGCGTCCAGAGTAGGGCGGGGACTCAAAACACCTTCTCCACTTGTACATCTCCCTTTTCCGATCCAGGCTTGACTACGGCTGTCAAGGCCACAGATCAGCAAAACCACACGTCCTAAAATTGCTAGACCCAGTGCAAAACCAAGGACTCCGCCTCGCTCTGGGGGCTTTCCTCACTTCTCCGGTGGAGAGCCTCCAGGCCGAGGCAAACATACCATCACTCACACTCAGACGCACACGACTCTCTCTACAATACGAAATTAAACAGAGCTCAACACCAGAGAACCCAGCACGATACTGCATTTTTAAAACAAACCCATAAACCATAAACAAACTCCAAAACAACGAAAAACTCATCAAACCCTTTGGCCTCAGAGTCCTTGGGGACCTCAAAAACAAACAATTTTCCAAACAAGACATCCGACAATTTCTTTTCCCCGACCTCCCTCCGTGGCACCTCACCAAGACAAAAGTTGACTAACAGCTGACCACACACGACAAAGCAAACACAAACACCACAACATTTAAAGCAGAATACAGAAAACTTATTTTAAAATACCCTGGTGCTGAGCTTATCTTCACAGATCGCTCCAAACAGAACTCTGGTGTGGGCGCCTCAGCCCTATATTCAAACAGTACACATCAAAGGAGACTCCATCCCGAAGCCTCCATTTTCTCTGCGGAGGCCACTGCCGTTGACATGGCACTGGACTCCGCTGAAAATTCTCTTAACAAATCTTTCCTTATCCTTTCTGACTCTCTGTCTTGCATGACCTCACTCACAAACTACACACTCCTACACCCAAAGAGAGTTAGGCTACAAAAAAAATACACTCCTTGACTGAAACCGGGGAAAAAATCGTGTTCGCATGGCTACCTAGCCATGTAGGCATCCGAGGAAACAAGCAGGTAGATCACCTGTCAAAGAAATCCTTATCCCTTCTGTTGGGATCAACGACGAACACTCTCTCACAGACTGACTTTAAAAATAAAGTAAAAAAGTACACCTCCAGTCTGTGGGAGAGGCATTGAAAAAAACAGACAAAAAAACAAACTTCACAATATTAAACCCAAACTGGACAGCGAAATCCTTCGGGCCTCTCCAGAAGAGACGAAGTCATTTTTACTCGATTACGTCTTAGAAACACGACCTTAACACACAAATACCTCCTTCAGGGAGATGAGAAGCCGCCGACACAGATTTTACCATTAGACACATTTTAACCGAATGTCTAGACTTCGAAGAGACCCGAAGGAAATACTTTAATGCAAAAAATTGCAATATGTTTTTTCCGTGGTTGTTCCCAACAGAATTTTAGATTTTATGAAAACCATTGGCCTTTTGGGGAAATTATAAAATAGATTGTTTGAAAGATCTTAAGTGTTACTTAGAAAGTTGTTTTAAATTTAAAATCTATTTACACTCGATTTTTAGCGTTTTAACAATTTTGATTAGAAATATTGACCAGAATCAGGCCGAGCAGTGAGCTGTTGAGAAAAAAACAACTTGTTTCGCGCGCTCATATAACCTTATGAAGTTGCGAGCGCCGTAAAACCCCATACTAAACTAAACTAAAATAGATAGATAGATAGATAGATAGATAGATAGATAGATAGATAGATAGATAGATAGACAGAGAAAGAGAAAGAGAGAGAGAGAGAGGAGAGAGAGAGTGAGAGAGAGACGGACGGACACACACACGCACACACACACACTCATATACACATACAGTGAGAGAGAGCTGAGAGAGAGAGAGAGAGAGAGAGAGAGAGAGAGAGAGAGAGAGAGAGAGAGAGAGAGAGAGAGAGAGAGAGAGAGAGAGAGAGAGAGAGAGAGAGAGAGAGAGAGAGAGAACGAACAGATGGACAGACAGAGAGAGACAGAGAGAACCGAACAGACACACATACACACACACACACTCACTTCGAGAGATAAATATATATATATATATATATATATATATATATATATATAATAATAATAATAATAATAATAATAATAAATGTAAAAACATTTTTTTTAAAATATAAAAAATAAATAAATATATATATAATAGGAGAACCACAACTGAAAATTCCCAGACAAAACGACCTCTTCGGGTCAAAAACACACCGTTCGCACCCCTACGTCACAAGGATGCAGAATTCAGTAGATGAGCCCCATGAGACGTCTGTCCGTAGACGATGTCTGCAGCAATGACTTTGCTCCATCTCAACGGTCCGCATTCTCAAGGCAGATCTTCGTCAAACGAC